TGTGTGTGTGTGTGTGTGTGTGTAAGTGAGACTCTGCACAGGGTGTGTGTTACACATGGAAACTGGACATTATGCAGATACAGTTATTGCTATTAACCTGAGTTTGATTCCAGTCTCGAGGTCCTTATGCTTTCCTGTCAAATCTCTACTGTCCTGTCAAAATAAAGACATGAAAAGAACAAAAAATAGAACTTACTAAAAACTAAACTTAAAAAAAAAAAACAAGGAATGTACAAAATACTATTGCAGTAGTATCTTTATTTCATTTGCTATTATTTTAATTTGATAGTATAAAGTTATACCCATAACTGAAGTGTAATTTTGGCCGAACTGTTGCTTGTGTCTTCTCATATGCTGGTCATCAGATATATAATATTGCTTGGAGATTAGTGGGATTTTGGTTTAGTTGCTTGGAATGCAATTTTTGGAGCAAACAATGTGGAAAAAGCATTCACGGCAGCCTCCGCTAGCTCAGCCCAGATGGACGTTACAGCTGTGACCTAATTATTACAGAAAAGGGAAAATGACACCACACTACAACAGTATTTGCGCAAACCAGTGCAACCGGTGTGAAAATCTGTATTTGAATGCCATTTTATGTGTTCAGCAAGTTACAGTTCTTCAGATAAACATAGTTCGTTATGTGTCTTCGGCTGCTTTTATCGTTGTTTCTGGCTTGAATAATAATCGTAAATTTGAAAATCTAGAGCAACGGCTTCATGGTGTTCCAAACCTTTATGAATTTCCTCCTTCTGTTGAACACAAAAGAAGATATTTTGAAGAATGTTGGTAACCAAAAAGTTGACGGTAGCCATTGACTTCCATAATATGGAGAAGGAAAAAAAAAAAACAGTGGAAGTCAATGGCTACCATTAACTGTCATAAAGAAGTTCATACAGGTTTGGAACAACACGAGGGTAATGATAACATAAGTTTCATTTTTGGGGGAACTGTCCCTTTAATCTTTTATTTATTTATTTATCAATACCATAATTTGCTCATCTCTAAAAAATAATTATATTGTAGTAGAAGTGTAAATAATCTTTAAAAAAAGAAAACAATATGAAACATAAAATAGTATGATATATCAAAATTGCGATACCTGTGAAATTGGATAAAAGGCACTCAAGTAGAACCATGCCTTTCATCAGACAGCTCAGGATTATGGGATGTCTCGTTTGTGTGTGGGCTGGTTTGATCACTTGGGTGTGTTGGTGTGTTTGTTCTCGTAGTGTTTGCTGAGGAGCTGGGGAAGGGAGATGGCAGTTTCAGGGCAGGTCTTCAGTACAAATATACCCCAGCGACTTCAGACTGCTTTTGTGCTCCAGGGTCACATATATAACAATTTTGAGGTGATTAACCCTTTGTATTTCCCATGACTTAACTTTACAATTGCTCTGTAAACTTCATATTTGCTAAACTTTACAATTGTGTGTTCAGCTTTAGGAGCTCTGTAAGCTTTACAATTTGCTTTTAACTTTTATAGTTGTGCTGCAAACTTTACAATTGCTCTGTAAACTTCAGATTAGCTAAACTTTACAATTGTGTGTTCAGTTTTAGGAGCTCTGTAAACTTTACAGTTGTGTTCTACATTTTATAGTTGTGCTGCAAACTTTACAATTGCTCTGTAAACTTAAGATTTGCTAAACTTTACAATTGTACGTTCAGCTTTAGGAGCTCTGTAAGCTTTACAGTTTTGTTCTACATTTTATAGTTGTGCTGCAAACTTTACAATTGCTCTGTAAACTTTATATTTGCTAAACTTTACAATTGTACGTTCAGCTTTAGGAGCTCTGTAAGCTTTACAGTTTTGTTCTACATTTTATAGTTGTGCTGTGGGTCACATATATAACAATTGTGAGGTGATTACCCCTTTGTATTTCCCATGACAGAAACTCTGTCCCAGAGTCATGGAGGACAGGAGGCCACAGAAGTCATGTGACGAGGCCATTGGATCATTAGTGAGGCAGGAGTATGAGGCGGCAGCGGCTCACAGCACAGAGGCCCTGCTGGCCATGGGGCCCCAGACCCCGACCCCCAGCACGGCCTTCCTCCGAAAGCGTGCCCTGCTCTATCGCATAGCAGCACGACTCCAGCTGGTGAGGCTGCACGTCATAGCATAGAAACACATCCATGTTTTTTGTTTCTTTTATACCTTTTCCTTTTTGTGGTGTTTATGAAGACGTAAGTGACAAAGCAACACAGAAGATCAGGTCATACCTATACTGCCAGTCAGACATGCACCTTACAGACTAGGGCTGCACGATAAATCGAAATGGAATCGAGATCGCGAGAAGCTGCGATTGTCATGCGTATCTTTCAGTGAAGCACGGTTCTGTGATCAGCAGTAAATCTCCATCCGAAGGCCAGAGGGCGCTCTCGCGCTGAAACTCCATATACGCCTCGCAGAAGAAACCCATCGCTGCAGCTGAATAAACAGAAGATTCAACTGCTTTCATTGATTCAACGTGACTAATAAACACACGA